TTCCCTGCCCGGACCCTCACTGACCCCATCCCTGGGCGGGGCCTGCGGGTGGACCCTGAATTGGCCTCTCCTGCTGTCCTCTGGAGGTGGTGGTTTCCATGGGAACCCGTGAGGGTAGCCGGGCAGCTCCCTAAACCTCAGCAACGGAAACAAAACACACTTACAAAAGGCAGTCCTGGAGGGGAAGCGTGATCCCGGCCCCTCCCCCGGTTTGTGTCGTGTGGATTGACGCGGACTTTCAAACCGGCTCGGACACCTGGCAACTGCCAAGGCAGTGCGCCCGGTGAGACGTTGTTGCAGTTCCCTTGGGGGCTGGGATTGGCAAACTTTAGCTATCTGAATGAAACTTCCCTTTAGGGAGTTAAGTTTTCCAGGTAAATGAGAATTTTTCCTTTAAGCACCATTAAAAAAAAACATTTTGGGTGGAAAATTTTGTAAAATGTGGCACACTTCCTGACTTAACCACAATGAACTAGACAGACTTGATTTGAATGTGGGTTCTTTATGGAAATTAGGAATTGCACTGGACTCTGGTAAACTGCCTTCCACGGAAAGCTGGGGCATATGCACCTGTTGGCAGGTATTCTCAGGCTCAGAGTTTTGATTTTGGCGTTTGCTTTTTCTGGTTTCATCATGCACTTGAATTCAGGCTGCTGGAACCCACTTCCCATTCTCCAGTCAGGAAGGAGCTGACTGCAAGAGTCCCAGGGACTTGGTAGAACTAAACTTCAAATCCCACATCTAATCCATCAGCAACCTTTGTTATTTCTACCCTATATGCTCAGGACCCCAGTAAAAGATTGAAATCTCTCATCTGGATTATGACCATCGGACTGTAACCTGGTCGGTCTATCAGGGTCTTATTAGAGCTCTTCAAGAGGAACCTAATCCGTGACGCTTCCCTCCCCTCACCCGTTCTGCCTTGCCTTGACAATAGTTCCTATGTTGTCAGACTATAGACTAATCTTAGTGATCTTTGGGGTGACTTAACTTTTAACATATCTTAGCTCAAAATCTCCTACACGGAGCCATCCTGTGACCACTGTATCTAAGGTAGCCGACCTCCTCATTCTCCATCCCTGCATCCTGTACATTTTCCTCATAGCACTTCTTTCAGTTTGCAAGAATGTATTTATGGTTGCTGGTTTATGGTGTGTCTCCATTTAGAAACTAAGTACCATGCAGGAAGGATCTGTTTTATTCACTAATGTATCCCCTTCCTTCCACATTGTGCCTGGCACATAATAGCTGCACAATTAAAATTTATTTATTTATTTATTTAGAGACAGGGTGTCATTCTGTTGCCTGGGCTGAAATGCAGTGGTGTGAATGCTCAAGAGATTTTGAGCTAGACGTGTTAAAGTTTAGTCATCCAAAGATCACTAAGAGTTTGAACTCCTGGGCTCAAGGTATTCTCCTGCCTTAGCCTCCTGAGCAGCTGGGATTCCAGGCACTAGCGATCATACCCTGCTATTTTTTTATATGTCTTTTGTAGAGATAGGGTCTCACCGTGTTGCCCAGGCTGATCTCAAACTCCTGGGCTTAAGGGATCCTCCAGCCTCAGCCTCCCAAAGTGCTGGGATTATAGCTGTGAGCCACCATGCCCGGCCTAACATTTATTAAATGAATCATTTCCCCCATGGGTGTTAGCTTTGCCTCAGACCCAAATGGAGAGAACTGGGGAGTGGAGGAAGATGCAACGACCTGCCTCCTTGAGGGAAACAGGGCTGGCGAGGGGAGGACAGAGCCCTGACTGACCCAAGGCTGCTGGCCCTGGGTCCTTGGCCTGAGCAGGGAGACTTGCTGAGTGGGCTGGTTGCTCTCCCACACCTGGTCTTCCTCTCCTTGGATTCTGAACTTTATCTGCCTTTTGAGTTCCTTTCTTATTACCTGGCTTCAACTCCCCTGTCCTGGTGTTTCAGTCTTGCGCCTCAGTCCACATGTGATTCTGATGCTGACATTGCTTTACCTTCCTGCCGTTCTCAGCGTCACCTGAGATCTCATTTTGGATGTTCTCTGCCTACCTGATTCCGAGCTCTGCCCCACCATGATCCTGAGCCAATCAGGAGCCTCTTAATTCTTTTTTCTTCTGCTACTTTGTTGTGGACCTGGAGTTCAGCAGCTAAGTGTCACAGAATTATGTGTAAACCGGTTCTGAGCGAACACTGGCAATGGAAGAGCCTTTTCATTTTTCAACCTTTTCAGTTTTCCCCACACCCTTTTAGGAACTTCCTAATTTAAATGAATTTCCTGAATGGCTGCTAGGACGGTGCATAATTAATGCATGGATCTTGTTACATTATAACTGCGGATCACAAGCATACACATAAATCAACAGAAAACATGCAAATGTTTACATGATTTTAGCTTTTATACATTGGGTACCACTCTCCAATTTTAACTATCAAATAATGTTTGTTAAATGATCATGAGATATGCCATTTTGAGGCTGCCAATAAACAGTTGAACTGGTCTGTTTATCTTCATAACTATTTGTTCACTTGTTCAAGACACATATATGGAGCACTCCCTTTGTGTCAGGCTCTGAGCTGGGGTTGAGGCTACAAAGTTGACTAAAACATGGCCTTTATGGAATATATTTTTTAAAATGGATGTATCTGTAAATAGGAGGGTTTGAATTCTCTAGGCTTATGTGATGTTGTACTGCTTGGAAAAATGCAGTGATGTGGTATTATATTCTGCCCAACTGATGTAGAGTCTGTAGGGCTAAGGCATTTAAAATCGTTAAGACATTTGGCAGTTCACCAGATGCCATTGCCAGCACCTTCCATCTGCCACAAATGGATGTCCCTCAGAAGCATTGGAGCTCAGACACCTTGACTCATAACTGCTCATGAATCTTTAGCATTCCGCCATATTTTACAATAATGTTTAGTTTCTATGCAGTAAGTCAGTGGAGTGAATCTTGGGTTTGTTTTTCAATTTGGAGGTTAGTGATAGGTTGGCAGGTTTGCGTGCAATCACCTTTCTTTCCTGGAGTCAAATTTCTTAAATACAGACTGTGGGACTGGAGCTGCCAATACCTTTATTTAGCAACTGTGGGCCTGATAATCATAGCAATCAACGAACTGTCACATCAATAAATAACATCAAGAATATCCAGCAGTATCCAGCAGTGGCTGGGCGCCGTGGCTCACACCTGTAATCCCAGTACTTTGGGAGGCTGATGTGGGCAGATCACAGAGGTCGGGAGTTCAAGAACAGCCTGACCAACATGGAGAAACCCCATCTCTACTAAAAATACAAAATTAGCCGGGCATGGTGGCACATACCTGTAGTCCCAACTACTCGGGAGGCTGAGGCAGGAGAATCGCTTGAACCTGGGAGGTGGAGGTTGTGGTGAGCCGAGATCGCGCCACTGCACTCCAGCCTGGGCAACAAGAGTGAAACTCCCGAGTAGCTAGGATTACAGGTGCCTGCCACCACGCCCAGCTAATTTTGTATTTTTATTCTCAAATAATAATAATAATAATAATAATAATATCCAGCAGTGTTGTTCTGCTGTCTATCATCTGCAGCCCTTCATAGTCCAAATCCCATCCTGTGGATATTCCATTTTTTCCTTTCTTCCCCTGTGCCAAGAAGCGTGTTACTGAGATGTACTATGAGATCATGCTGAGTCAAAATGATAATAAAAGAAGACGACGATGAGGATGAGGGTGATGTTGAAACACTCATGGCTGAGGAATTTAATGTTGTAAAGGAAAAGAAACTCTAGCTGACACATATCTAAAGTGAGAGTCCTGTGCTGAGAAATGCTGAAGAGATATGGCATTCTGAGGCTGCCAATAAACAGATGAACTGGTCTGTTTATCTTCATAACTATTTGTTCACTTATTCAAGACACATATATGGAGCACTCCCTTTGTGTCAGGCTCTGAGCTGGGGTTGAGGCTACAAAGTTTTAATATATATATATAATATATTTTATATATATTAAATAAATATATAATTAAATAAATATTAAATTAAATATATATTAATATAATAATATATAATATAATATAGGCATTTCTTAGCTAATCTCTGTTGAGCTGGGAAGCGGAGGCACAGTTGTGCTGGAATACCTCTGTACCCCATGAAAGAGTGGTTGCTCTGAGCTTCTTGGGCCTCTCTTCCTTTCAATCCTGGTGACTGCAGCCCCTTCCCTGGGACCTCATCCTCAAGATCCAGTAACTAAAGGATAGCTCATGGTATAGCAGGGCCTCCGCTGGCATTTGTTCCAATGGGTAACTATTCATGCTACCGTAGTTATTAAATAGTTTGATGCTCAGTTCTGTGTTTATGCAAACACTACACACTACATCAGCAGCATAGGCTAGGTTAGCTGCAGAGACAAATGGCCCTACACTCTCAGTGGTTGATAACAGCAAACATTTATTTGCCACTCACACTCCATGACCATCAAGGATCTTCCATGGCTCTGCTTCACGTCTCCTCCATGCTGAGACCAGGATGATAGAGCAGCCTGTGTCTGGAGTCATCAAGGGAAAGAGAAGGGAAAGAGAATGGTGGCCCCAGTACTACTTGGAAGGTGGCACGCCTACGTGGCACGTGGCACCTTTGTACACACTTCATTGTCTTATTGCTCTCCAGAGCACATCTTTGGCCATGCCCGAGTTAGCAGGGCAGGGACACTTCACGGTGCTGGGTAATACTACCTAGTACATGCACAGCATTTTGAAGATTCCCCTTGGTGATTTCATTACAATCTTCATCGCTCTTGGCCTGGCTGTCCCCCTTTCTTGTAAATTATTCTTGAGTTAATAGCCGTTCTTTGAGATGTAGTTAGTCATTTACACTGAAGTCAATGTGAAACCCTTCACAAATGTGGGAACATTTGAATAGTTGAAGCCTGTAGTCTCTGTGGGGAGTTTCCTTAGGAAGGGTGAAACATTTCACCAGCATCCGCTTGGTCTTTCCTCCAGCTAAAAATGTAAAATGTTGGCATAGAAGAGCTCCTCGGTGTGGTTTTGGGGTGACTTTGCTCCCCGGGTCCCTAGTGATGTGGGAGTAGCCACCAAGGCACGTAAGGCTGGCCACACAGGGTGCAGTGCGTCAGCCTGTGACTGACAGGAAGGGAAGAGAAATACGTCAGTTACTCTAACAAGAAGAATTGACTTCCTTATCTGCAGAGCCGGCTCTGGTCTCTTCTCTTGAAGCAGATGCAAAGGTAGGATGAGAATGCATGACTGGCCGTTGTAGCAGGTCGTTTTAGGAGTGGGGTGCGTAGAGATTATAGTTATTGTAACTTTTCTTAAATTTATGACATTGAAAAGGTAGGAGACAAAACATAATAAATTAGATAAAAGATATCTTGTAATTTTATTGAATAACATAATTTAATATTTGAGATAATAATGATTTAAGTGATATGGTGGAAGTAACTTCAGAGTTAATTAAAAACCGAAACAAAACAGTAAAACACTATCCAAAAGCTATATGGTGTGATTTTTTTTTAAAGGGTAGAGTGTCATTTGCTTTCTTCTTTGGTTTGTAAATTCTTATACTTAACAGTTTGTTACTGTTTTGCTGTCTCTGAATCGACTTTATTGCTTTGATCACCTGTAATTTCTAGTTTGGAGGTGGAATATCAATATCATTTTGGAATTATAAAAAAGTTAGCTAGGGTCTAAATTAAATTTCTTTTAATTAAACTTCCTTAATCCCTAAATTGCTTGGTAAGAAAGAGACTATGAGAGGAAAATGCACATTAGATATTAAATTAGAATTGGGCTGAGTGTGATGGCTCACACCTGTAATCCCAGCACTTTGGGAGGCCAAGGTGGGTGGATCCCTTGAGGTCAGGAATTTGAGACCAGCCTGGCCAACAGGGCAAAACCCCATCTCTTAAAAAAAAAAATAGACAAAAATTAGCTGAGCGTGGTGGTGGGCACCTGTAATCCCAGCTACTCAGGAGGCTGAGGCACGAGAATCACTTGAACCCAGGAGGCAGAGGTTGCAGTAAGCCAACGTCCCACCACTGCAATCCAGCCCGGGCAACAGAGCAAGACTCCATCTCAAAAGAAAGAAATTAGAATTGGTGTAGAAAAGATTATTCTGCCAAGATAGTCGGAGATTCTAATTTCTTAGCTGCTTTGCCTAAATGAAGCATAAGGTTTTAGAGTTAAACAGACCCAGTTTAGAGTGTGAGTTTAGTTAAGTTACTTAATCACTCCAAGACTCACTCTCCTTATCTGTAGAATGGGTACATTTATTTACTTCATAATGTGGTAATAAGGATTAGTAGAGACAATGTATGCAAAGTACCTAAACTATCTGGTTCAGAGTAAGAGCTAAATAAATAGTAGCTGTTGGCACAACAGAAAGCATAACAACAATTGCGAGTAGTACCTAGAAGGATATAATAATATTAATTCTCGGCCAGGCGCAGTGGCTCATGCCTGTAATCCCAGCACTTTGGGAGGCTGAGGCAGGTGGATCACGAGGTCAAGAGATCGAGGTCATCCTGGCCAACATGGTGAAACCCCGTCTCTACTAAAAAATACAAAAAAATTAGCCGGGTGTGGTGGCACGCGCCTGTAGTCCCAGCTACTAGGGAGGCTGTGGCAGGGGAATCGCTTGAACTCAAGAGGCAGAGGTTGCAGTGGGCTGAGATCGTGCCACTGCACTCCAGCCTGGCGACAGAGCGAAACTCCGTCTCAAATAAATAAATAAATAAATAAATAAATAATATTGGCCAGGCACGGTGGCTCAAGCCTGTAATCCCAGCACTCTGGGAAGCTGAGGCAGGTGGATCACGAGGTCAAGAGATCGAGGTCATCCTGGCCAACATGGTGAAACCCCGTCTCTACTAAAAAATACAAAAAAATTAGCCGGGTGTGGTGGCACGCGCCTGTAGTCCCAGCTACTAGGGAGGCTGTGACAGGGGAATCGCTTGAACTCAAGAGGCAGAGGTTGCAGTGGGCTGAGATCGTGCCACTGCACTCCAGCCTGGCGACAGAGCGAAACTCCGTCTCAAGTAAATAAATAAATAAATAAATAAATAATATTGGCCAGGCGCGGTGGCTCAAGCCTGTAATCCCAGCACTCTGGGAAGCTGAGGCAGGTGGATCACAAGGTCAAGAGATCGAGGTCATCCTGGCCAACATGGTGAAACCCCGTCTCTACTAAAAAATACAAAAAAATTAGCCGGGTGTGGTGGCACGCGCCTGTAGTCCCAGCTACTAGGGAGGCTGTGGCAGGGGAATCGCTTGAACTCAAGAGGCAGAGGTTGCAGTGGGCTGAGATCGTGCCACTGCACTCCAGCCTGGCGACAGAGCGAAACTCCGTCTCAAATAAATAAATAAATAAATAAATAAATAAATAAATAATATTGGCCAGGCACGGTGGCTCAAGCCTGTAATCCCAGCACTTTGGGAGGCCGAGACGGGTGGATCACGAGGTCAGGAGATCGAGACCATCCTGGCTAACCCAGTGAAACCCCGTCTCTACTAAAAAAATACAAAAAAACAAGCCGGGCGAGGTGGCGGGCACCTGTAGTCCCAGTTATTCGGGAGGCTGAGGCAGGAGAATGGCGTAAACCTGGGAGGCGGAGCTTGCAGTGAGCTGAGATCTGGCCACTGCACTCCAGCCTGGGTGACAGAGCGAGACTCCGTCTCAAAAAATAATAATAATAAATAATAATAATAATAATATTAATTCTAATGTATTTGCTCTTCCACATGAAGAGGTCAAGTTTAAAGTATGAACGCCATGGCTTCCTATTTCAGTCATGAAGTCCTATTTCTCACTTTAAAGTAACATTTTTTGTTGTTTTTGGGTGGTAAACGTCTCCCCAAATGAGAAAGAATACACGTAATCAGCAGTGAATTGCAGTGACCTTTCAGATAAAGCACCTGTTCGACTTTGTCCTCTCTCAGGTAGGTTTCAAGTTGTATAGATTCAAGCCCACGTATGAGTCTTCTAATGTTTTTTATATGTTTATTTATTTGTATGTATTTGTTTTTATTTTTATTTATTTATTTGAGATGGAGTCTCACTCTGTTGCCCAGGCTGGAGTGCAATGGCATGATCTTGGTTCACTGCAACCTTCACCTCCCAGGTTCAAGTGATTCTCCTGCCTCAGCCTCCCGAGTAACTGGGATTACAGGTGCCCGCCACCACGCCCAGCTAATTTTTGTATTTTTAGTAGAGATGGAGTTTCACCAGGTTGGCCAGGCTGGTCTCAAACTCCTGACCTCAGGTGATCCACCCACCTCGGCCTCCCGAAGTGTTGGGATTACAGGCGTGAGCCACTGACCCCAGCCTTTTTATTTATTTATTTATTTACTTTTTGAGATAGAGTCTCACTCTGTCGCCCAGGCTGGAATGCAGTGGCCACAATTTCAGCTCACTGCAAGCTCTGCCTCCTGGGTTCACGCCATTCTCCTGCCTCAGCCTTCTCAGTAGCTGGGACTATAGGTGCCCGCCACCACGCCCAGCTAATTTTTTGTATTTTTACTAGAGATGGGGTTTCACCATGTTAGCCAGGATAGTCTCCATCTCCTGACCTCATGATCCGCCTGTCCGATCCTCCCAAACTGCTGGGATTACAAGCGTGAGCCACCACACCCAGTCTTATTTATTTTTTTGAGATAGAGTCTCCCTATATCACCCAGGCTGGAGTGCAATGGCATCATCTCAGCTCACTGCAACCTCTGCCTCCTGGGTTCAAGCAATTCTCCTGTCTCAGCCTCCTGAGTAGCTGGGATTACAGGCGCCCACCACCACACCCAGCTAACTTTTGTATTTTTAGTAGAGACAAGGTTAGTAGAGACAGGGTTTCACCATGTTGGCCAGGCTGGTCTCAAAACTCCTGACCTTGTGATCCACCCACCTCGGCTTCCCAAAGTGCTGGTATTACAGGCGTGAGCCCCCGCACCCAGCTGAGTCTTCTAATGTTAAGTACAGATTTCTGAGGAACCTGAAGCTTATACAACTTGTGGAGACTTTAGGAAAACAAAGAGGGAACCAGGTATAGGGCATCTTGGACCTTGGACAGGGCTGTGCAAATAAGGGATTCTGAAGTTGAGGTGTCATTAGCTTCCCAGAAAACTCGCCTCTGAATAAGTAACAAGACAGACACGAAATTTATAAACACACATCTTCATTTCTGTGTCAGACTTTCTGATGGATATGCATATGTGCTGTCTCATTGTTGCAAAAATGAGTCTTTTAAAAGCCTATGAATAGGGAACTAAGCTGAGAGCTGTTCTTTATTCATCACCTTCCTTTGTGGCTGCCATCAGCTTCCGTGAAGAATCTATGCAAGCGGGCCGGGTGCGGTGGCTCACGCCTGTAGTCCCAGCACTTTAGGAGGCCAAGGCGGGCAGATCACCTGAGGTCAGGAGTTCAAGACCAGCCTGACCACCGTGAAGAAACCCTGTCTGTACTAAAAATACAAAATTAGCTGCGCATGGTGGCACATGCCTGTAATGTCAGCTACTCAGGAGGTTGAGGCAGGAGAATCGCTTGAACCCGGGAGGCGGAGGTTTTGGTGAGCCAAGATCGCGCCACCGCACTCCAGCCTGGGTGACAATAGCAAAACTCCGTCTCAGAGAAGAAAAACAAAAATCTACGCAAGCAAAAACGTCATGAGGTTTTCGGGTAAAATTTCAAGGACAATGCAGTCACTCAACTTTTCCCCTGCATACGAGGCAGAAAGCGTGGTGGCTGCAAGCTGAAGCTGTGAAACTTCTCAAGGAAATAGCTGTGGTAAACAACACAGGAGTGAGCTGCTTTGAAATGACCTACAGGGCCGTGGCTTGTGGGCTTTGAGAACGTTCTGTAGTTTTCCCTTGAAAGCGTGTGTGGTGAGGACAGTCACGTTCACACGCACTCATGCTGCAGCAGATCTCTGCATTTCCACTCTGGTGACGTTTCCCTCGTACCAGGGAGGGCTGAACATTTATTTCCTTTGATCCGATGACTGGCTGCCCAGAGACAATAGATGATTGGATGAAAGAAATAGGGACCCCTGTCTACGAATAAACAATGTGTCTCTTTCCCATCCTCCTCGTCTCTTTTCTTCATCGGCTTTACTTTTCTCGTACTTTTCCCCTTTTACCAGATTTAAAAGCCAAAGTCAAGATTTGCTGTTAGGCTAAGGAAAGCAAGCAGGCATTGTTTCAAACTCCTAGTGCATGGATGACTATTTCAATCCCCTGGAGG